CGAGCAGACGGTGAACAGTGGCTCAGAAGGAACAGAGTCGACCCGCGGGGCGGCGAGCCCCGCGGCCCTGCGAGCGGTCAGACGCCCCGTCCGGGTCCAGGAGAATGAGGACGAAGTCACCGCACACAGCCCGGCTCAGGGCACGGAAGTCAGGTGGGCCGGCGGCGTGGGGGCCGCAGCAGCCCTGCCAGCCCCGGCCTCGGCCTCAGCTGCCCGCCGCACGTGACCGACGTGTCTACGGCCGCGATCGGCGCCCGGCTGCGCTCAGCACCCCTCGCCTTCCCTCTCCCGAGCTGCCTGAGCGCCCCATTATCACCACCCTATGGCAGGTCAGGATCGAGGCAGGGTCCCCTGACCCCTAAGTAGCAGAGGAGAGGTAGCCTGCGGCAAGAACCCCCGGTATCACCGCCTCACCAGCCTGCGGGTGCCCGCCTCGCTTGCCCCATCCTGCTGGCCGCTGGGGCCATCCGAACCGCATGGCCGTGCCGTCAGGCTGTCACTTCAAACCTGGACACGTGCTCTCCTCCTTGGAGACCAGGCCGCGGTCCAGCAGAGAACGGTGAGAAAACCCACACCCCCAGAGGAAGCCTCATCTGTAGATGCACCCCGCAAGGGTGTGTGGGCGCCCACCCGCGTGGGCGTCTGGCTGGGCTCGGGGCGCCCTGAGACAGAGCGCCCAGAGGCCTCACAGTGGGGGCACATGGACCCACGGCCGCGCCGGCAGCTGTGCCCTCTGCCCCCCCTTGCCCCACTGTGGGTCTCCCGTGGGCGGCTCCTGAAGGCTCTGCAGAGGGAAGCCCCACGCCCCCAGAGCCGGCACCCTTCTGAGGTGTTTTTACATACCCTCAGGACAGGCACTGCCCACTGTCCACTGCCGCAGGCCCAGGGCTGACCTGCAGGTGCAGGGGGTGGGGGAGACGGACCTCCAGGGCAAGGAAGGGCCTGCCGAGGACCTGGGGCGGCAGGAAAGGGGGTGGACACACACCACCCTCAGCCCCCCGCAGCACTCCCCTCCCTCATTCCTGGTCAGGGTCAGCCTTCCTCAAGTGCCCTCCCTGTGCCCGCAGGGCAAAGCCCCTTCCTGTAGCTCCCACCTGGAGCGCCGGCCTGGAGAGGAGACTGGGGGTGCAGGTACCCAGGGCTGCTAGTCTCCCCAGGACACGAGCAGGAGGCTCAGGAACAGGTGAGCGCACCAACTGGCCTGACCCTCGGGCTGGCCGCTCCACCTGCTCCTGGGCAAGCCCGGGCGGCCCTCCGGCCGTGGCAGGTGGGGGAGCCTCGTTTCTGAGCCCCTATGGGAAGTGGGGGTCCGTGAGGGGCCGCAGGATCGAAGACCGCGGCAGCCGAGTCCTCCAGCCGCTGCGGGGTCGCTCTGAGGCGTGTGCAGTGGGCACAGCGGGGTCCGGCACAGCCGACAGCCCGGGAGCGGCACCTCGGGGCGGCGGGGACAGCTGGAGGCGGCGCGGGAATCCGGCGGAC